CCACAAGGCCTTGTGGCAAATGCTGCTGTTCCAGATGGGACATAACAAACTGGTCAGACAGGCCTGTGGCTCCTATGGAACACAGGGTATAATGAGTGCTGCTCTTGGGCTTTACTGAGAAGCATGAACTGCTTATTGTCTCCATGTCTGGTCTCTGAGAGGCTCCTGAGGCCTGGGGGGTGAGTGTCAGTCTGGTTCAGGTGTGTGTCGCTCACCTTGCACTCGTACCAATCCTCGACTTCCTTGCGGTTCCGCGCTATCAGTGTTTCATACTGGCATCTCAAATCCTCCAAGATTTGCCTGAGATCTGGTCCAGGGCAGGCATTGACCTCCACNAGGAGGAGGAGAAGGAGGAGGAGGAGGAGGAAGGTGCCTTGGAGGCAGGTGGCCCCACAGTTGTTTGCAATGGGCCTCTCCCTTCTCCTGTGATGAAACTGTTACCAGCTCCTGCCCAACGAGGCGGGGGGACTATTTAAGCCTGAAAGGCTCACCCAGCACAGGCAGGTTTCATCCAGCACTTCAGTGGCAGAGTTGCTGTGTGTTCCTCACAGCCCAGACGTGTGTTGGCTGAAGCAGAGGCGGGGGGGACAAAGCCTGTTTCCTTTGGGTGTGTGGCAGTGGGAAGGTGAGGCTGCCAGGGGGGGCTGGGGTGTGGGTGGGCACACGTGGCTTCTCCCAGACCCTGGCACCACCTTTTCCAGCTCCACACCCACACCCTCCCCACACTGATGTGTTTGGGACAAACCACCGAGGTTGCTGAGCACATCTCAGGGGCACGGCTGCACTGTTGCCCACCCTTTTTGGTGCTTCAGAGGGATCCTTTTCCATCCTTCCAGCTTCTGGTCAGGTCTTGTCAGGAATATTCAATTTGCTTATGTTGCTACACAGAGAAAAACTATGAATTATCTACCTGGGGAATATGACTCATTCTCATAATTATATGCTATAAACTAACTCCCATTATATTATCATCAGGCAGTTTTATTAACACCAGATAATCCTGTAGGATTTCTCCCTAGTAGAGAAGAAAGCCAGGCCCTGCAGTGTGACTGTGTTGGAGGGTGAACACTTATTTGTACACTGCTCTTCCTTCCAGTGAGGTTCAGCTGCCTGACACTTAGCATGAAGCTGTTCTCCTCTCCCCTAAAATTTAAACGATGAGGGTTTTTTTCCTTATCCCAATAAAAAACTAGATGTTTGAAAACTGAAAAATCTGATTTAGATCAGTTGTAACATATTAGGGCTCACTCATGTTTATCCTGTCAAAAGACCAGTGGGCTTTGGTTCATTGCCAGAAACCAAAACACACAGTGTGGTTCGAGAGCTCAGTGGAATTCTAGGACCACCATCTGCAGGTGGTGGCCTTGGCAGTGCTGGGTGAAGGGCTGGACTCGAGGATCTCAGAGGGCTTTCCCAACCCAAATGATTCCGTGATTCCCTGATGCCAAAACATATTTTAGGCATTTTTTAAGTGAAGGGGTTTAAAATATGTTTTGAAGTGAGAGAGTAAGTCCCCACCTCTCCTGGTGTCTTCTGGTGTAAGTCTTGGTGTCCACCCACACCCCGAGGTGTGTGGTCACAGGGAATATCCCTGGAACCTGCCCCTCTTTGTCCAACGGTCCAAACCCAGCACGTTCCCCCAGTGGTCAGTAAAGCTGGACTCGGCATGGGGGGGTGACGTGCTGACCCCAGGGAAGGGCAGCCAGGGGTGTCGGATCCAGCAAACATCCCTCCTGTAGGAGAAGACGTAATTCCTGCCTCCACTCTGCCCGATCTGTTACTCACTCCCTGTTGCAGAGCCGAGTGGTGATGAAACGTTAAAGGGCACCTTCAACAGCTCCACCACCCAAGGGAGCGATGGTGGCTGCGATAGGAACAAAAATTAGGTGAGTCAGAGCCGTAAGAGATTTCAGAGCACAAACCCCTGGGTTGGGAACGGCTTCATTTCGGGCCTAAGCAGCCCCTGGCCCAGGTGACTCTGGGGTCTCAGCTCCACTGGCAAGACCCTCGTTAGCAAAGGGTCATTGCAGCGCATCTCCAGCCCCCGCGGGGACCCTGAGTTTCGCTGTGCTCCCGCCCAACGACGTGATGCAAAATATCCCGGTGCCGCTGGAAACATAAACAGGTATTAGCAAATCAGGGAGTGAGTTTCGGCCTGGCATCCGTCCCGCACGCCCCCGCACGGGACGACACCGGGGGGCCCGGAGGACACCGGGGGTCTGCAGGCGGCAGGGAGGACACTGCGCCGTCCCTGAGCTGTCACACACGGAGTCGGGTCGTGCCACCTCACTACGAGTGACACCATTAAATACCGGAGGAGCTGGAGCGGGATGTCCGGGCTCACAGCGCGTTCCGTGTTTTCCCGCAGCGGGATCTCCCCGGCACGTCCCGCAGACTTCACCCGGCTCTGCTGTGGGAGGATGAGCCAAGCCCCCAGCTCCGGGTTTGCCGCTCGCCTCTGCCCCGGGCGCCCTTCGGCAGCTCGGTGGGAGCCGAGTGCCCTCTAGAGAGCACCCGCAGCCCAGGGCCGGGGAGTTCTCAGCTCCTGCACCTCCAAATATCTCCAAATATCCCGTGTGGTGAAATGCAGAATGTGTCGGGATCCCACGGCACGGTGGGCGCAGGGCTCGGCGGGGCAGAGGGAACACTGCCCACCCCGCTGCAGGGCAGGGGGCCTGGGCAGGGCTGAAACTGCTGTAGATTGTGGATAATTACATTTTTATTTAGAATGTATATACATTTGTATAATTTTATATAATTTTATATAATTTTATATTTATTATTTATATACCTATTATTTTAATCACATACTATCGTACTCCTGCTAGATAGGCTACCAGCAACTAATTCCACTCAGCCACAGACAGGATTAGCCCAATTTAGTGTCTTTGGGCCTCTTAGGAAAATGTGATCCCTACTTTCAGGAGAGTCTCAGACTCGGGTAACGCGGTGACTCGTTGTTTGCACTCCTGGGGCAGAGCAGGGCCAGGCCGGGGCTCGGGAGCAGGACAGACACTGACAGGTCCGTGTTTCCTTCGGATCTGCCGGTTGGGAACAGCTGACACCTGATGGGGAGAGCTGGGAAGTGCCAGGACTTCCCAGGCACTTTTTCCATTTCCTTTTTCCTCAGCACCAGCAGCACGTGCATATCAGGATCATTAATTACTCCAGCTGCTCTTAGGTTTTTTCCTGACATCACATGCAGTGCTCGTGGAAAACCTGTGCTTCAGTCTCAGTCCAAACTGGACAGTTTTTGGATAGGTCAGTTTTGCCCTGTCTTCTCAGGCAAACACATGCTCAATGTCTCTGTCCTCTGGAAAAAAACAAAACAAAACAAACCCAGTATAAATATTTTAAATTTCTCTTTCCTCTGGGAAAAACAAACAGCGAAACTCAACCCAGTATAAATATTTTCAGAGGTGCTTCATGTTGCTGTTTCTCTCTGTGGTACAGGAGGGAAAGGCCAATGCCGATGGCAGCAGAAAGTGAAAGCTCAGGTTCCCAGGATTTGAATTTCGGTGAGGATTTGTCTCTCACTCCAGAGGATCTTTTTCACGAAGTCCTCGGGGAGGAGCGAGCAGCAGCTCCGGGGTTCTGTACGAGGGTTTAGGGCACGGCAGAGCTGCCTGGAGAGATCCGAGTGTGGGAAGAACCGGAGGCGACCCTGCCCGGCCCCAGGAGGGTGCGGTGCTGCCGCAGGAGCTCCCGGTGTCCTTCCCGGAGTCGGGATCAGCGGCTGTGATGGAGCTGCCCGTCCCTCCCGGCCGCCAGGGATCACTCTTGTTCCTTCTCCGCTTCCTCACAGCCGAGATTCCGCCCTCCCTTTGCCCGTCCCCTCTCCCGGCTTGTTGCAGCGCAGAACCCAGACAGAGCAGGGGCAGAGATGCTCTTTTCCAGGTGTGTGGCACAGTCAGGAGCGGGGTTTGGCATTTGCTTTTATGTTTAAAATGCTTTTGAATTTCTCAACAAAGGACTCCACAATATTTGACACGTGTTTAGGTGTGAGAAGTCTTGGTGCCGTGTCATATAAACTACAAAAAGGGCTTTCAGGCCATGAGCTCTTTCCGTCCTGTGGGTGTCTCTGCACAGGTGTGGGTGTCCCCATGAGAGGACATTGCTGAGAACATTTGAGTGCTGTCATCTCAGCACGTGGCACCCGGGAGAAGGGGCACTGTCCTCGCAGGGTCCCCCTCCCTGGGCAGGGGTCCCGCACAGAGGAGGTGGGATTCGCTCTGCCGAGGGGCAGCAGCACCTGGACATGCTCACACTGCACAAGTCCAGGGGACAGGTGAGGCCAGGAGACACCTCTCCCCCCCGGGTGACACCTCTCCCCCCCGGGTGACACCTCTCCCCCCCAGGTGGCTGCAGCCACCACTGAACTCCCCAGCACCACCTCATCTCGCAGTTTAACACCTGACACATCTGGAGAGCAGCTGGAGATGTGCACCAGGGATGGCTGCTGAGCCAATACCTGTGTATGGGTACACACCACCCTGAGCTTTGGCATGGGAATTTCTGTCACTCATCCCTGTTCTCCTTTCACTGAACTCCAGCTCCTCTGGCTTGGCTGCCTCCTCCCATGTCATACAGGAACAGGCAACATCTGCCTCAGGCTGTGGCAACAGGGAGGAGCTGGACAAGACCTGCCAGGTCAGCAAGGCCATTCTCTGTGCAGGATGATCCTGTGATCCTGACCAGTTTAGGTGCCCACTGTGCCCATGGCTCAGCACCTGGTGCTCTAAAGGAACTCAGTTTCAGACCCAGGTTCTTGATTGCATCAGGCACAAGCAAAGTTTTATTAGAGACGTTTTTCAGCAGCAGGTACGTTAGTGACCCTGACTAACTCAGGTAATTTCTAGAGGTTACAGCATTGCAGAACAGAAGAGCAGAACAGAGGAGGGGGCTCCTGACACCCCCTTTAGCTACGTGGCCAAGCGTCGCTGAGTTACTTCTACTTTCTCTGCACAGAGGGTGCAGCGAACACGGAGCGTTCTGGGTTTGTCTCTGGGTTTCCCTGTCACCTTCCAGTCCGTTCCTCCTTAATCACAAATTCTCCTGCAGGTCACTGGAGGGAAAACACAGCAGCATTATTTGACTGAAACAGAGTTAAAATCCTTCAAATAACAGAAATTGGGTCTGTGTGGTGCCCTCGTTTCTAGAATGCACTGCTAAGCTGGAGCAGTTGGCAGCAACCCAGGAAACCCCAGATATTCCCCAAATAATTTACTTTAATGGGAATTTTCACTTGTAAAGTTATAGATTTACTTTTCACTCCTTCCAGACTCTTATGGAAAGTTTAGACTCATCTTCTTTACTTGTCTCCATGGTACTGCCTCCTCTCATCTCCCATTTGTTTCCTGCAGCCCCGTGTTCAGCCTGAGCTCTCTTTAACCCTGTTCCTCGGTGGCACCACCACTGTGACAGATCACTCCTGTAGCACAGTGGGTCTGAGAGGATGCCAGTGACACGGCCTAGGACTGTGCTGTCTCTGGCCCTTGGAGCTCAGGAGCAAACCAAACAAAGCCAGTTTTCCCATTGTGAGCACACAGCCCTTACCTTGTATGTCTCCAGTCTTGCAGGGTGGGACCTGGGGCTGGCAGTGGGCAGCTGTAGTTGTTGTGTAGGTGTGGCTTGTCCTAATGACCCCTCCGCCAGTTCCGATTCCTCCGTGACTAGTGAGACAGAACAGGGAATTTTAGAACTTCACGTGTCACTGCTGACTGGCTCCATGGCACAAAGTTTCAAACTATGTCCTTTGTAAGGGTTTTTACATATAGAGTATTTTACACCACATTTTCTGTCACTCTCAGAGTTGCTTTGCATTTGTGCTCCCCCCTGGCGTGGAACTGCAATGCAGTTGCCAATTAATTGCCATTAATTCCCATTTTGACAGTTCTCACATATATCACCCCAGAGAAGAGATTGTCCTAATGCTAGGACAGACAGTGTTGTCACCAGCAATTATCAGATTTGGTGTCTCTGCTTTGCAGATCCCAGGGAGTGACATTTAGTTCTGATTTGAATGTTCGTCACAGTGAAGTTGCTCATAAGACAACTTCATCTCAAAGAAAGCATTAAGAAGGACTAAAGACCAGGCTGGATTCCCAATCTGTAATACAGATCCGTGATATTTTCATGTATTCTCTAGTGGATTTAGAGATGTACATACATGAGGTCCTGCTGTCCTCCTTCCAACAAGCACCGGTAGGTCTGGATCTCCTGCTCCAGGCGGCTCTTGACGTCCAGTAAGGTCTTGTACTCTTGGTTCTGACACTCTATTTCCGCCCTTATTTCAGCCAACTGCTGCTCCACGCACGTGATCTGGTTCTGTAGCTCACCGAGGAGGGTGTTGTACTGGCACTCAGTCTCAGCCAGAGAGGATTCCAAATTATTTCTCTGATAAACAGGACAAGCAAAGAAACAACATTCATTTTAAGCGTCACCCTGGAGTTTATGATTTCCAGTCTAGAAATGAAGGAGCCATTCAGCACCATTGTGCTGGTTGGTGGATCTGGCTGTTCACACCAAGAAACCCAGCAGTGACCACGTCTGAGCTGAGCCAGCTCGTCACCCACCTGGCTGAGCTGAGCTTGGAGATCGATTTCCAGGGCTTGCAATTGGCGTCTCAGTTCGGTCACCTGGTTGTTGCACGTCTCCACCTCCTGACCGCTTGTAATAACCTCTCGATTCACCTCCTCAATCTGAAATCACCAATCCAGGGTAAAGAGGGAATTCAGGGAAGGTGCATTGTAAGTCAGATTAAGTATTAAGGAAAGAGCAGAGAAGTTGGCAAAAACTTGAAATGAGAAAGGTTTGGGTGAAAACTCTCATCCTAATGGAGTGTAAACCCTGCTGGTCATTCCTCTTGCTCTTCTAACAGTGCTGCTTCCAGTTCTTCTCACCACTTATGGCCTTGTAGAGAATTCCTGCCTCAAGTCTCACCAGCATGGAGTGCTTCCCTCACCCCATGACAAGGACACAGGGCAGCAGCATCCCTTCCCTGTGTCCCTTGGTCACTTTGAACCAATTCTAAATGCTATTACAGTCTGTTGTGTGGCTTTAATAGTTTAAAGGTTTAAGTCCTGGGGGACCATTGCCTGAGTGTTAGCTGGGGAAGGTCAGAGGTGTGGGAATTTACTCACCTTGCACTCATACCAATCCTCAACTTCTTTGCGGTTGCGTTCAATCAGTGTCTCATACTGGCACCTCATCTCCTCCAGGATCTTCCTGAGGTCTGGGCCGGGGCAGGCATTGACCTCCACGCTCACATCTCCAGTCGATTGCTTCCTCAGACAGCACATTTCCTGGAAACACCATCCAGATCAGGTCAGTTTTTAAAATGGAGGAAAGAACTGAGGCAGCCAAGTTGCCCTGCAGGGAGGAGCAGAGCCTGGCAAAGCCCCTCTCTGCTGGACCCTCACAGCTCCGGGGTCACACCGTGGTCTCCATCAACCACTTGCCCCCCAGAGCAGCATCCTGGGGCGAGGGAGGATGGACCCCTCAGGAGTGAAAGGTTTCCAGAGGAGAGGGGCAGGACCCACCTCCTCGTGGTTCTTCTTCAGGCAGCAGAGCTCCTCCCGCAGCGACTCCAGCTGTGCCTCCAGGTCGGACCTGCAGAGCGTCAGCTGGTCCAGGACCTGGCGCAGCCCGTTGATATCGGCCTCCACGCTCTGGCGCAGGGCCAGCTCCGTCTCATACCTGGGTTGTGCAGGAAAGCACAGATTCAGGATGGGAACATCCCACACGGGCTCTCTTTGTGCCCAGATCTCCTTTCCCAGCTCCCTGCTCTGGTCTGCATTTGCTGTCCATGCTGAATGCACCGTGCCTTGGATTTCTGCACCACTTCATGTCTGTTATGTGAAAGCTTTCCTTCCTCATCTGGTTTTTCCCTGCTCCTGCTCACTGTGTATTTGGTATCACTTACTCAGCTGCATTTCTGCTTTGCTGATCCCATCTGTTCTGGTCTGGGGTGGAAATGGACCACTCCCTGCAGTGCCCGTCCCCAGCCTCACCACAAACGCTGTTGCTAAATGTTTTACCCAAGAACACTAATTAAGGGAGGGCTGGTGACCAGGAGCTAAATGCCTTTCATCATCCTGCCCTACCACAGTGGTGTGGGGAGACGTGTCTGGAGCCTCTGTAATTAGTGCTCTGAGCCTCCCCAGCGAGGTGGGAAGGAGCAGGGGGGAGGCAGCGGGTTCAGAGGGGGCACTCACTTCACACGGAAGTCATCAGCAGCCATCCTGCTGTTATCGATGTCCAGGATGATCTTGTTGTTATCAATGGTTGCACAGACAATCTGGAAAAGAGCAGAGCATGAGAGATGTCTCCTTCTCTCCTGTTCTACTCTGTAGGTCTTTCTGCATTGCAATTAGGCAGTAACCCTGCACAATTCCCTTTTTCTGTTACCTTCTCACTTAAGTAACCTAGTCCCTTGAGCAGAGAAGTTGAACAAGGGGGCTTTGCCTCCTTTACTCACAGTCAGTAAAGAGATCAATTATGTAGAGGCTGAGAGTTAAAGAGCTGTGAGATGGGACGTCTCAGTTTCAAGATCTGAAGGCAAGTTCCAAAGAGGCTTCACAAAGTGAACCTGAAGAACCTTCCTTAAGTCACTAAATCTCAGCTGATATTGAAGCTGGAGTGTTCTGGGCTTCAGACTTAAGGGACTTCAGGGAAGATGGTTGGAAGGTGTCTTTAAGCCTTAGGATCAGCTTTTATTGTGGATTTATTAGTGTGAGGCTGTTTGTGCCCCTGTGACAATCAGTTTCAACACGCAGCTTTTCTCACCTAGAATTTATAATGTTTCACTTCATAAAGCATTCAAGGTGTATGTTTTGCCCTTGTTCCATAGTTCTCTTTGCTTTGCTTTCCCTACAGAGCTGACACCACTACATTTCCTCAGAGCACACTGGTAATACCCTATTTACAGTTGTACTGTCCAAACACAACGTACCAAAGCATCCTTTCCCTTTTCCAGAGCGTTCTCCCACCCGTACCACCTTGCAGCACCCATCCTTGATGTGCCCCCACACTCAGCAGTGTCATAGGGGAACTTGCCAAAATTAGTTTGTGAACACATTCAGCAGCACCAAAGTTCCCCCGACAAGTGCAGCAGGTTCTAAACAGAAATTCAGCAACGAGCTGTCAATGGGAGGAACAACCCAGAGGGGCATTACCTGGTTCTGAAGGTCCTCGATCTCTTTGTAGTAGCAGCTGTAGTCCCGGGGCTCGCAGGACAGGCCCTGTGTCGCGTACCACTCTCTGATCCTGCACTCCAGCTCGGCGTTCTCCTTCTCCAAGCACTTCACCTTGTCCAGGTAGGAGGCCAGGCGGTCATTGAGGTTTTGCATGGTGACCTTCTCATCGCAGGACGACAGCAAACAGTCGCCACCGAGACCCCCAACAACCACCCCTCCTCCGAGGCCAAACCCCAGGCCATTGCCATAGCAGTTGCCACCTCCATAGCTCCCACCAGCCAAGCTACCAACGCTCAGTCCCCCTCCATAATTCACTCCACCGCAGTAGCTCCTTCCAGAGAAACCTCTGACACTGCCTATCCCATAGGAAGAAATCCGTGCTCCACCACCACCACCAATGATACAACTGCCACCACTGCTCCTGCCTTTGCTAGACACAGTAATAGTCTCCTTAATGTTGCAACTCATGGCGACAGCGGTTGGCAAGGCAAGCAGAAGCCCAAAGCAAGATGCACAGCTTGATATGAAATCAGACTGCGAGCTGGCCGTGGCCGCCCATCCCTATTTATACCTTCCACAGTGGGTGTCACCACTGCTCCTTCTTCCCATAAGGCTGGCTACTCCAGCCATTGGTGCCAAGAATAATTTCTCAAAGGGAAGTTTCCTTTCAAGAAGCCTGGTAGACGAGGAAGATGCTTTACATGTCTCTTGCTAATTTCAAAAATACATTAGCAATAATGTTTTATGAATCATCAGCTTTTTGTTTATGATGCAAACTTGCAGCATTAAGCCAGGAAAAACACTGTCCTAAATTACATACCAGGAAGAAATCATTAAAGGTTATTGCATCAAAGAGCTCTTTATCTCTCATTAATTTATTTTCATTTTATTTTGAGTTGAACAAGCAGTTTTCATGCAAGGTGCTGAGGTTGGAATATGCAAGATGAAAAAGAAAGAAGAAATACTAAGTTTGCTTCTCGAATGATGTATGAGGAATGATGTAAGAACTCTGTAGAGAGATCAGAGACACAGAGATTAACCTTTAAATCTCTCCACTGGCAAAATGACAAATCTGGAACACTCTGCTACGAGACAAGTGAGACCAAGGAGGGATCTCTTAATAGACACGGATGAAAGGTTCTTCCTATATGATTGTGGCTCTCCAGTAATTCACAAGGGATTTGTTTCATTATGTGGAGAGTGTAAAGGAAGGTAAAAGTGCTTTAAATATTTCCTGTTGTTCAGTGAAAGATAATTTCTACACTTTTCCTCATTATGGATTGTAATTGTTGCTGGGAAAGGGTGGTTTTGAAACAGTGGATGGGAGTGGAAACATCCTATGGCCAATTTCTCTGTCAATATGTGCTGTGCTCTAATCAGAGCTTCGGGATTGCTGTCCTGGCACATATAAAGACAGAGCTGCTGATGGAGCTGCAGAGCAGCCGCTGCCCAGTGCAGCTCCACGTGGGCTTGGGAAAGGTGGGTTTGGTACAAACTAGAATTTCTCTGTCAGTAAAATTTCCAAATCTTATTTAGGCAGGGAAAATAAGAACTAGGGATCCTTTCACACTTCTGACATCAAAAGTGAGGCTGAGCTCATTTTCATGAGATGTTTTGCTGAGACTCCAGACCACTGGACCTCTCCCTGTTGCAGTGGCCATGGAGCAAGGGACAGGCGTTCCTGAGCTTTCTGAAACCAACCATTCCCTGTAAGAAATTCTGCAAGCCTGCTTCACCAGGGAAGAGTGACTTCAAACTCTCGCTGAAATGGCATTATCAATTGAAATAGGTTTTGTTATGGAAGGTAAATGATCCCATTTACCAAAGGACTGAATTATCCCAGTACTTGTGGATTTTCCCATAATTTTACTGCTCTTATTTCTGTTGAAAAGATGCCTTCCCTTATCTTTGCCTCCTTGGATGTTCCTTATCCGGCACCATAACAGCCAGCAGCATTCCAGTGATATCTCCAGCAAGCTGGAGATGGGTGTGGAGAGACTTCCCAAAGTGATTTTACTCAAAGACAGAGCTCTCGGCGCTGGCAGAGCTGCAGCTGGGCCCAGCCGTGGTGCCTCCCTGCCTGCCATGCTGGGCCTCCCTCCAGCCCCAAACACACAGAAACAAAGCTCAGAATAGGCAAAACCTCTAACAAAGTTACTGTGTATAGGGAGAAACAGCTGGATTTCATTCCTAGGACCCGAGAACATAATTGGGAGCCAGGGCGTGGCGGCAGGAACGGACCGAAACTGCCGAGAGCTGCGTCGCTGGAAGCTTCGCCCGGGCTGCGGATGATTCCTCAGGAGTTTCCCAACAGCTGTCTGCAGCATCTCTCCTGAGTGAGCACACATTCCTTCCCGGCCCCACGGTTATCACTGCAGCACATCAGAGCAGCACAGGCAGGAACACGGGCTGACACTGCTCCCTGGGAGGGGAGGGTGTCTGCGTGCCCGCTGCAGGGACAGCTCCTGATCCCTCTGGACACCTCGGCCCCCTCTGTGGCTCTGCCCCTCAGACCCACCTAAACTGTGCCCAGGAGCCTCAAACCACACACACTTCCCTCTGCCTCGCTATTTTTCCTGTTTGTCTTCAGAAAATGAGGGCACCAGTTAAACTAAGATAAAATTAAGTGATTGTTGTGAAACATTAAAAGATTAAATTAGGCTTTTCCTCCTATTTTCATTCAGTTACTTGAACTCCTAAGCTTCCTGGGTCTGTCTCATTAGCACAAAGAAATACGGAAATCTTATGGAAATGTAGTTTCCAATGTTTGCAGCTCCATAATTTGCAGCTCTTTAATAAATGGGGTGTTTCCAGGGTGTTTTCTGCTGGGGGACTGTTAATCATAAGCTGCCTCTCCTGAGCTGCCTTCCAGGTGCATCCCAGCTCATAGGTCCACAAACAACATCACAGCATCCCAGGAGCTGAGGCTGTACTCCCCCCCCAGGGGGCTTTCCAGAGGCATATTCATCATGTCTGGGTCATTAGAGTCCTTCTGACCATGTCATTAGGTCTCTTTCACCTCTCAGGAATTTAGGGCAGCTCCTTTGTGAAAGCGCACGCTTGGGACCCGCCGGCTGCGGTGGGAAGGGTGGGAGGTCTGTGTAGGAGCCCAGGGAATCCGGAGGAGCAGCTGGATGTCAGCAGCAGTTCATAAGAGGAGGAACAGCCCAGAGCTGGTGGGAATCACATGGGGCTGCCAGGAGAGAGTGGCAAGTTTTTATATATCTTACATGGCCGAGAGTTTCCAGAAGAATGGAAACTGGAAGGGCCTCAGTGCAGTGCCTTTATATTTTTAGAAATGAGAGTGTGAGGACTCTCATTTGGGAAGGATTGAGGCCGGAAAGGGCAGCAGTGGGTTATCTCAGTCTGGCTTTGCACTGAATGAGGCAGGAGGAGACAATGGGAATGGAAGAGGGAAAGGTTTGCTTTTTGACTTCTCAGTCAGAGCTCAGAACAGCTGAACTCCAGAGGAGTCCAACAGAAATTTGCCATTATAGGCACAATATGTATTATATTTAAAGATGACTTGATTTATAGTCTTGGTTTAAAAGCTTCTACCTTTGGCCACTTTGGTCACTGCAGATGTTCCAGTGCTACATTTTCTTGTCTTGCCCATGGATACTATTGAGCTTAGTGTCTGGTAGATGAAATAAAAGAAATACCACTGAGACACCTTCTCTCCAAGGGCACCTTTCACCTGCTCCCTGAACTTTAGTGGTTAAACTTCTTCAGGGACTCGATGCCATGTAAAGTCTGTTTCAGTATCAGGACAGTACAGAAGCGCCAGCAGCAGAGCCGTGTGCTGTATGTACAGTCCTGAAGTGGTTTTCTCTTTGTGCCTGTCCTCCTCCTGCCCTGAGCCTGCTGGCCCATAACCTCCAGCCCTTGACAGAAAAGGAGTGACCAGGAGTTTTGCTTTTCCAGGTCATGTCGCAGGTGAATCTGACTCTGTAGCAGCCACATCACAGTCACCCGTCACTGCTTGGCTTTCTGGACCAACACTTTAATCCTCCAAACACCCTCATAATGCTTTTAACTGCAAGTTCTGCAAACCCAGAGTGCCTCGGGGCAGGTCAGTGCCAGGACACAGCTGCTGGTCGAGGCCCAAGGAGGGAGTGATCCTTGCCTTACCTGTGAGGTTTGAGTGCCTCTGTGGCTTTTTTCTCCATTCTGTTCTCTGCTGAGCTGCTCATTTTCAGCTCCCACCCTGCCCTCCCCAGCTCCCCAGACAAGGTGTGTTTCATCTAAAGATGATCTTCCAACCGTTCCTGATGTTCAGGTTGAAACTCTTTGCAATAGAAGGATGACCAGTAAATGACTCAGTCACTGTGGGAAAATAGAGGAGATAAACCTTTTGCCTCCAGTCCTTTTCCCAGTGGGAAGATTTCTATAGAATTAAAGGAATAGGTCCAAACATAAGCCATGTCAGGAGAAACTGAATGGAGACCAAGATCTCCTCTTCACCCTAATCACAACCTCCAGGCTGGGTGATGGAGTATGAGAGGGCCCAGCCCAGATGTGTCAGCACTAGACTGGGACTGAGGCAAAATGTCTCCAGATGTTCCACCAGTGACGCTCAGAACTTTTCTAGGACTGTGTTTTAGCCCAGTGCTGTGTGGGAAGGACACAAGTGTCTGCTGACCTGCCTGTCCATGTGGGTCATGCAGGAACAGGCAACATCTGCCTCAGGCTGTGACAGGGAGGAGTGGGACAAGACCTGCCAGGTCAGCGAGGCCGCTCTCTGGCTCCCGCTGGCAAAGCAGCTTTGTTCCCAGTGCAGGATGACCCCGACCAGTTTAGGTGCCCACTGTGCCCATGGCTCAGCACCTGGTGTTCTAAAGAAACTCAGCCTCAGACGCACGTTCTTGATTGCATCAGGCACAAGCAAAGTTTTATTAGAGACGTTTTTCAGCAGCAGGTACATGAGTGATGGCTGATCACTGGCTGACTGCAGCGATAGTCGTGGTGCTGGGCCACACACAGCGACACAGACTGGAAAAGCAAATAGCAAACCAAAGCAGAATGTGGCCCAACGCTCTGCTCATCCCTCTGGCACATTGCTTAGCACGGCTGAGCGGCGCAGACGAGCACGCCCCGTGCTCTCTGCAGACACATGCAGTAAATATTCTCTCTTCACCCATAGCTCTGCTTCAGGCTTCTCTTGGATATTCTTGTTTCTCTGCTTAATCACAAATCCTTCGGCAAGGCACTGGAGAGATCAAAGGAAACATTACTGTGTTTATGGCAAAAATGGATTCTTTCCCACACTGTCATTCCCCACACGTGATCGTTTCACAAGCCAATTCAATTAGAATTTCAGATAAATACTGCCCCTTTTTGGGAAGGTCTGATGGCTCCTGCCAGCCAGGCAGATGGATCTGTTTGTGCTGTAGCACAGGCTGCCCTTCTCCATGCCAGGCAGTGGAAGCTGGAGATGTGAGGGAATGGCATTGGGGTCCGTGCTGGAA